CAGGGCCAGCAGGGGGTGGGACCAGCTTGGGGAAGGGGGCAGGTGTCAGCTCTGACCTATATTAGGGTCCCAAGGGGAATGTTATAGCGGGGAGGGGGCTGCTGTTCCCAGGGCCCAGAGGGCTGGGGGACCTGTCAGGACTGAGGAGCAGGTGGCATCCCCAGAGTGAGGGTTCCGGGAGCTGGAAGGAACCCAGATGTCTAGAGTTTTTCCAGTGTCTGTGGGTGCCCCACCAGTGCACACCCCCTCCCATCCTCTGTCTGCTAAGGCAGACTCTGGCCCCTGCCCCCATCGGGTCCAGCAGGCACAGTGGGGGGAGTGGCAGTGCCCTAACGCTTGCTGCTGGAGGGACAGGGTGGTGCCCTCTGGCTCTAAGCATAGGTACTGGGGGCACTGGAGTTGGGTAGGGGATGCCCTGAGCCTAAAGGTGCATCGGGGCTGAGGAGAAGGGGTTGGTAGAGAGGAGCAGGAATCTATGGGGGAGGCCACCAAAGATGCTAGTCCCAGGATGGCGAGCAAGCCCCCAGTCCTTCTTCCTGGGGGCAGCAGGGAGGGAGGGGCTGCAGGCAGGAGAGCCACTGGAGGCCCACCCCGCCGCCCTGCCCTCCTCGCCCCTTTCCCCACAACCTGGGAGGGAGACTAAGCCCCAAACCTTCCATTCGGGCACCGCCGCTGCCAGGGAGGGGCCAGCTTACCTCTGGTGCAGGCTCCCTCGGTCCCTGCCCCGGGACCACAAGCAGCCTCTGCAATGACCCTCCAACCTGCACGGCAGGGGGACGGCACAGCTTCAGGAGCGTCCCCAGAGCCATCCACCACCGACCCTTGTCCCGGAGACCCACCCTCTCCCAGGAGGCCCGGACCCCTCGGAAGGGCACGGCAGGGTCCCCAGAATGGGCTGCAGCTCTGCCTCTTGTCCGCTGGTCTCCTGGATGCCCTGCCGGCAGGCAGCACTCGGAAGGAAAGTTGCTCAGCTGGCCGGGCAGGTCTGCCTCAGCAGTAACAGGACACAGGAGGCAGCGCAGGCGTGTTAACCCCTTCCTGCTGGCCAGGCAGCCGCACCGCACCTTCCGAGGTGGGTGGGAGGTTTGCCTGCTGCCAGTGCCCCGGAGGGGAGGGTGGGGAGGTGCTGCTTGAGAGCCTGTGCTGGTGGCCCACTCCCACCCTGCAGCGAGTTAACCCTTCCCCTGCCTCCTCAACGGGAGACGGCCAGGGGGCTCCAACCCCCCCCCCACTCCCCAAAAGGACCTTAATGCCCGCTGTGGGCTCCCAGCTGGCCCTCTTGGCCATCCTGGCAGGGGCATCAGGACTCCAGGCACAGCCCCTACTCTGCCTCGACAACAGGAAGTGCTCTGCTCTCTCTAAACCTCCTCCTCTGCCTCAACGGAAGGAGGCGCGAGGCCCACGGGGTCCTTCCTTAGCAGAAGCACCGAATGCAAAACCACGCGGGTGGGAGACTGTGGCCACCCCCTCAGCCTCCCAGTCCCACCTCTGCTCCATTGGCACTTCAGGCAACAAGCCCACCATTAGCAACGTTGTTTGTCAGACCCGGGGAGCCTGGGGCCCACTCCACACAGGAAGCCTGGCCAGAGAACAAGGATGGTACTGAGTCTGAGCTAACAGCACCTTTCTTCCCAAGAGCCATCTCTTGCCCACTTCACGTTTCTCCCAGCGAGGGGCGGAGGGTAAAGCCCAGAGGCCAGTTTTAAGGCAGAAAAGTGGCGAAAGGAGGCCAGAGGCTCTAACAGTGGTGCTCAACCTTCCTAATGCCGCGACCCTTTAATACAGTTCCTCCTGTTGTGGTGACCCCCAACCATAAAATTATTTTCGTTGCTACTTCACCACTGTAATTTTGCTACTGTTATGAATCGTCATGCAAATATCTGATCTGCAGGATGTATTTTCAGGGGTCGCGACGCACAGGTTGAGAACCGCTGAGTCTAGCAGGCGCCAGCTTTCCTTCCTGTAGGACAGCGGTTCTCAACCTGTGGGTCGCGACCCCTTTGGGGGTCGAACGACCCTTTCACAGGGGTCGCCTAAGACCATTGGAAAACACATATATAATTACATACTGTTTTTGTGATTAATCAGGATGCTTTAATGATGTTCAATTTGTAACAATGAAATTGGGGGTCACCACAACAGGAGGACCTGTATGAAAGGGTCGCGGCATTAGGAAGGTTGAGAACCACTGCTGTAGGATCACACGCTGAAATCCGGAACAGTAACCTCTGGCTGAGGACAAACGGATCCAGCCTCTAGGGGTGAAGAGGACGGCGAGCACGCCCTCAGACCTGGGACAGGGCCCTTGGCCCCAGCTGCAGTGGGAGGGTCTCAGGGAGCCAGGTCTCCGGGCGTCTAGTTTCCGAGTCTCATACATTGTCACACTTGGTGATGACACTTGGGGAAGACCTGGCTCCGGGAAGCGCTACCCCAAACGTGTGGGGCGAGGAAGGCCAGGAGCAGGAACTAGGAGGGGTGATGCTATGTGTCCTACCATCCGCTCCATTCCTTCTCCTGCTACCCACTTGCTCTGTGGTTCATCATCCCACACATCACCTCCCCAGGTGCGTTCCTCTCTCTGCCTGTTGGGTGACTCCGGGAACCGAGACAGGGTGGGGTGGGGTAGGCCTGACGGCAGGTGGGACCACCTGGGAGGACCTGGGCCATGAGCTGATTTCATCAAGGGGGCGGCATTCACGACATGAAGCCCGAGGGAAGTGGTAGGAACTTAAAGGTTCTTTATTGATTTGTTTGTTAACCAGTTGCCCAGAAGGCTGCTTGGGCACCTGAGTCAAGTGCAAGGACGCAAAGGCTGCTCAACGTCCCTTTGGGGGTTGAGCTCATCAGCCAGAACCATTAGGTCCGTCACCATGGTGTCCAGCAGCCCATAGACCTGGAAGAACAGGACAAACGTCACAGGCAACGGCTTGCTCTGTGGAAAACGCCTCCACGAGGGAGCGCCCACTGTGCTATGAGGGTGGGCATGCTCACTCCACACTGAGAACAGCTCTAGAGGGGACAAGACCAGTGTGGTGAGAATTTCTGTAGAACTTTGGTTTTTGCAAAGAGTTGTGTTTTTCAAACCAGTCTGGGCCCTGGGACGTATGGGGACACTGGGGGCCCAGGATGGTTAAAGGGGCAATTCTTGGGGTCCGGGGAGCAGTGCCCATTTACTCCCTTGGGGTGGCCCAATCCTACTCTGGCCTCACAGGTGCCAACTTTCCTTCCTGTAAGATCACAGATCCACATCTTGAAATGTTTCCAAAACTGTTCCCTAAGTGGGGCTGGACCACACAGGCCTCAGCAAGTCGACTCTTAATTTCAGAAAGCTGAGAAAGGCCACCGCGCGGGTCCTCAGAGACCCACGGGAACTTGCCTCCATCAGCCTTCAGACATCTCAGGGATGTCACCAGCAGCAAATGGGGCTTCTGATCAAATGAGATCCAGGGTGTCCCCACAGTGCAGACATAATCCCAGCCACCCAGCTGTCCACGCCAGAGGCAGACAAAGCCTTGCCACGAGACAGACAGACTGAATGTGGCTTTGTGGACCGCCCCCCTCCCCGCCCCCGAAATAAACAGCAACTGTAACTGCAAACCCAACGCAACACACGATGAGTTCCTCAGGGCCTCCTGCTTAAGAGGGAGTTGCCATGAAGTCTCTCTGGGGTTTCAAAACCCTTATGCTTGCTAGAAATCCACTCGGCGCGGTGTTCCCCCCAAGGAACAGGCCGGCCAAGATGCCCTCTGACACACGGAGTCTATTTCCCCAAAGTCAGACCATGTCCCTCTTCTATTCAAATCCCTGTATGGTTTCTCGTTTCACTCAGAAAAATCCCCGAGTCCTCATATAGCCTACAAAGCCCCACATGACCTGCCCCCTCTTGGTGACCCCTCTGCCTCCTGTCCTCCTGGCTCCTCCCTCCCCTGGCATTCCTTGCTTCCTCTCCCTAGAGCACTGCTCCTCAGGGGTCCACAGGACCTCCCCCACCTTCCTTCAAGTCTGTTTGACGTCACCTTT